GTGCTGGCGCTCGCTGACCCCCGCGGTTCTGCCCCCAGGTGATCTTCGGCCCCATGTTCTCCGGGAAGAGGTAGGCGTGGGGTGGTTGGGGGGACAGGGAGCGGGCCGGGGCCCGCTGATGGTGTCTCTTGCAGCACGGAGCTCATGCGGCGGGTGCGGCGATTCCAGCTGGCCCAGTACCGGTGCCTATTGGTGAAGTACGCCAAGGACACGCGCTACTGCACCTCCGGCGTCTCCACACATGACAGGTGAGTCTCTGGGGCAGGAGGAGCCACCCCTGCGGGCCCAGCAGCCGGGACCACCCTCTAACCTTTCCCCACAGGAGCACCATGGAGGCGATGCCAGCCTGCCTCCTCATGGACGTGTACCAGGAGGCACTGGGCTCTGCTGTCATCGGCATTGATGAAGGCCAGTTCGTAAGTGCAGGGCCAGGGCAGATCCTGGGCAGCTCTGCAGGATGCAGTCTCTTCTGAGCACCCTGTGCAGAAGAAGGTCTGAATCCTGTGTAGAAGGGGATGGGAAGAAATACCCTGGGGCAGTTTGAACCTTCTGGACTATGCTCATATAGCCAAACCCTTCCCTCAGTCCCTGCAGGCTGAGGACAGCGGGGCTGGGGTCAACGGGTGGGCAACGTGGCTCTAATTTTCTCTGTGCCCTGTGCTACTGTCTGGGCACGTGCTGCTGGATCATGAGCAAACTGATGCCCCTGCCTCTTCCTGACGCTGTTTCTGTCCCTCCTCCAGTTTCCAGACATCGTGGATTTCTGTGAGATCATGGCCAACGCTGGGAAAACCGTCATTGTTGCTGCTCTTGATGGGACTTTCCAGAGGAAGGTAAACCACTCTTCTTTTTAGTGCAGCAGCTGCTTTGGGATCCTCGTAGAACCCATCCAACAGAACCTCACGTTCTCTCTTGGCAAGGCTTTCGGGAGCATTCTGAACCTGGTCCCGCTGGCAGAGAGTGTGGTGAAGCTGAACGCCGTGTGCATGGAGTGCTACCGAGAAGCCTCCTACACAAAGAGGCTGGGAGCAGAGAGGGAGGTGAGTTCCCTTGGAACAGAAAGCACTTCAGTAGCTTCTTCTTGCCGGTCCTGCTAGTCTAGAGGGATCCCCTCAGGGGAACTGAGCTCTGCAGAGTCACTCTCCCAATTTTCTTGCCAGGTTGAAGTGATTGGAGGAGCAGACAAGTACCACTCTGTCTGCCGATCCTGCTACTTCCGCAAGCGGCCTCAGCAGGCTGGGTCAGAAAACAAGGAGAACGTGCCCATGGGGGTGAAGCAGCTGGACGTGGCTGCCTCCCGGAAGATCTTTTTTGCTTGATTGCTGGGCTCCAGCATGGGAAAAAGTGAGAGGAAGGAAGCTAAATGCTGCAGCTCTCAGATGCCACATCCGGCTTCCCCTGCTTTTAGCAAACCTCTTAAGTGTCTTAGCTCTACCTGCCAAACCACGCTGCTGTTCCTGTGCACTGAGCACCAGGAAAGAGGAGGATCAACTGCACCTGATGCCAGGGGCAAGATGAAGCAGGAGCCTGACTAAAAGTGAGTTCCTTTCTCAACATGGAACAGAGACAGGTGTAGTTACCGATGCCGCCACACAAACAGGTCCCGAAAAACTCTCCCAGCAAGCCAGGCTGCAGGGCGGCCATCGCTGGCCATAGTTCCGGCCTGCTCTCCTGGTCTTCTGCCTGTGTTCAGGCTGGCACTGGTGGGTGGTTCACTTGCCTGTCAACGCAACTGTTTCTTTATCTCTTGTGCACTGTTGCTAAATTGCAGGTTTCTTAAGACAATGTACACTAAGTTAGTATTTTAAACCCACTTCCTTTTTTAACGCAGTCTGAGGCGATAACCCCTTCCTTGTCGTAGAGGTGTGGCACAACTTTTCAACTGACACACGTAGCAGCAGCCCGCCCTCAGCAGTCCCTTTGAACAACTGTGCATAGCATGTCTGTTTGCCGTTATGATCGCTTGCTGCAACTGTCCTATAAGTTTGGGGGTTTTTTTTGAAGCAGATGGAGGGAAAGGAAGGCTTGTCTTGATGGCCTGACAGTAGGCTCTTCCTGGCTTGTGAACTTTAAAAGGGCTCACAGCGATCTGGTAGCAGCCTGTGTGTTGAGACAGAGTCCTTTTAGAAGAACTAGAGGTCACTTCAGGAAGAGCTTCCTCTCCAAAATCAGGGTGGTTTTGCTCAGGTCTCAGCTTGGTGCTGCCACTTCAGTGCTTAGTTACCTGTGAAAGGTTTGGAGACTCAGGACTGTAAAGGTTTGGGCTACTGTTCTGTGAAGATCCAGCTACTTGGAAAAGGGTCTCTGCTTTGAGTGGATGGTTCTCAACTCCAGTCATGTATCTTGTTCTCTCTTCAGCCTTCCAAAAATCCTTGAGGCTGATTCGTCCTCTGCTGTAAGGTGACGGAAGGATCCTCTTCCCCCTTTGCTTGACTTGGCTTCTGGAAGGGTCTGGGTTTTTTTTCCTTACTCCTTGCAAAAGTGCTTTTCCCTGTAAGCCGGTGTCCACAAGGTCCAAGCAGTAGCTCTTGGTTTTGCCCAGGTGAAACCTCCACATGCTCTCTGTTTGCAGTGCTCTCTGTTTGCCTACACCCTCCAGCTAGGAGGAGGCGCCTCCCTAGAAGGTTACAAGAGCATCTGAAACCCCCTGCTCCCTCTGCATTACTTGAAGTGATGACAGTTATACTCACGAGCACTTCATTGCCAGGCCTGGGCTTTCCCCTTGGGGCTGGGAAAGGCAGCGCTGCTACTGGTTTAGGTTAATAAAGAACTTCATGAAATTGTGTGTGTTTTATACCGGACTGCACTGAAAAGGCTTCCCCGGAGTAAACACTGCACAAAGAGCGCAGGCTGATCGCTCGCAGCCCCAGCCTGGGTTGGTCAGCTGGTCGCAGGAGTGGTGTTGAAGCTCTCTGCTCAAACCTTCTACCAAACAGGCTCTGAGGAGCGGGAGGAGGGCTTGCCTAAAAATAGACACCAGCATGAGTGTGCTGTTTGCAGTCCAGCAGTTGGCTGGGGCTGCTCTGCCGCTTCCCTGTCTGGAACCCCCAGCCCTCGGGGCGAGAGGAGGAGGAACCCTGTTTTGCTTCCCCAGAGAAGAAAGGCACGTGGCGGCTAGGTGAAAAAGTTTATTCCTCCTCTACAGTGACAAACAAAGAACTACTTGAACGCCAGCCCCAGCAGCGACAGCTCGCACACCACACGCTGCTGCTGGGAACAGCTCCACAGCAGGTGCAGCAGAAAACAACCTGAGACAGCAGCCGACATCGGCACCCTGGGGTCAGCCGGGAACGCCGGCTGCGAGCAGGACGAGTAGGACATGGGATGTCGGCCTCGCTTCTGCGGAGGCAGCGCTTAGCGGGAGGCAAGCGAGGGGGGCAGAGTACCGAGTCAGCAGGGAAAGCACTCCAGGATATTCCTCGGGACGCCCGGAGCAGCCACAGCCCTGCTGAGACATTCCCAGCACTCGCCGTTCCCACGGATCCCAAACCGCGTCATCTAAGCACCGACAGCTCTAGTGCAGGCTGTGAGAAGGCACAGCACGGGTTTATAGTCTAAAGAAGACAGGGCTTTGGCATCAAGCTCACCCAGCAGCAGCCGAGGGGGGAAGGCACAGGAAGCCGGGGGAAGGCAGGAGCTGGACCGCGCCGCCCGGCTGT